TTTCGCGCGAGAATTACAATTGACTTATGCAACTAAGTATGAACGATATATGACTACATGAACATGAAGTAACTATACTATTTACAAGGCGATACGCCGAACAAGTAGTGTTTGCACAAGCTCGCGCACGAGCCTGACCTCGAGAATTTGTTGAGGAAGGAACAAATAAAAAGAATCCGTTTATTGAGAGAGAGATTGTGTTTCGTGATTTATGTAATTAAGAAAATTTTGATCGGGCAGAACTATACAAAGAATACCAACATTTGTTGCCTGGGGGAAGGGAAACTGCCCAAAAACCTTCCCAGTATTTGTGAACAAAATTATACATTTGTAATAGAAAAATACAATATGAGTAAAATAAATGTATCAAATACATAACAGAAAAAAATGAATGGTTATCATAGAACAGTCCTTTCTTTTGAATTATGAAAAGAGAAATATCTTTCTTAGATTCCTTGATATAATTCTGTATCATGAGATAATGTTCGTTATAAAAGGAATTGAAGTTAGTAGGTACGCATATAATGTATATTGACGAAGTCTATCTCAGAATTAGTTGTTATTTATCAAAGAAAAGATCAAAACATCAACATAACTCAAATTAAAACCATGAATATCAGTGTAGATATAATTCAAACAATCTTGGAAATAATGCATCAATTCTTTAGTGAATAATTATCATCGGCCTTGTCAATAATATTCTTCGTGAATCGAATATTAACTGAGTCTTACAGAACTTGTGTATAAATCACGACAAAGGAATATATTACCCCATGAGCGATTATTACGACACGAGCAATAAATACGACAAGAGCAATTACAAAGGCAATGAATCCAAAACAAGCATTTAATACGACACGAGTAATAAGTTTCAAATAAGTGTATTGAATTACATTTTTAAGAGGCCTTCGATCGTTGATTGACACATTAATTCATCATAGAACAAACGTAATATTAGATAATTAATAATTCGCAACATAATCACTAAGATAATATAAAGTGATTGATTAAGAGATTTTATAGCAACGCAAGTAAACGGTTATTTGATAATTTTATCACAACGCCTGAAACGATTTATATGTATTTCGCAAGAAAAATATTCTAGTTTAGTAGTAAATGTAACGAATGTACTGTTGTAATCTGAAATTACAACGGGTAATTATTAAATTATTTATAATAAAATTATAGAATAGCCTTTCGAAAGACTTCGAGGAAATTGTCTTTCGAAAGACTCCTCAATTTACGCTGACGCGGACGCGGAAGTTCATCAAGCTTCCGCGTCAATCGAACTATTGCGAGATGCATAGGAATGTGCGACAACGCATTTCGACAATCGCGGAACCGCGCGCGGGAGTACAGCGAGATTGCGAATGCGCTCGGTCACTGACCGACCTCATTCGGGGGACCGTCGAACCCGGCAGAAAAGTGCCGACAGGGCATAACTCAAAGCAATATAAGGGACCGTCGAAGAAGCCGCGACGGAGAGTAATACACCGGAGACTCTGCCCGTGACCGTTCTCGTAAGTCGTGTCGCGAAGTTCTACATTATAACAAAGCGCGTGCGAGATATAATAATTGTGAAAGGCAACTACAAGTGTAAGTTAGTGAGTGTAACAGGAGCGCTGAAATAAAGCTCCAATATAAAGTAAAACGAAGTGAAGTTCATTTAACGACGCCTACACCTTTTGTTCTACCTGCGAACCCGACCGCTTCCTAGTCTGCCCGCCTGTGCCTACCGAGTCCCAACTCGTAAGGTCAAGATATCCCGAAAATAATAAGCGTTTTGCCGTAAGCCGTCACCAATCGGCAACGCGGCATAACAGTACGTACGGTAATGAGATTGAATATAAAAGTACGATAATGAGATTAAATACAAAAGAAACTCACTATATGATTTATCATAACAAATCAATCGCACAAAAGAAAGAATTAAAGTTTGTCATTATGAAGAAAACGGTCGATTTAACTCTAGATGTAAGATTAATAGATTAACTAATCGGAGATTTCTTGTACAGCATTAGACGGGGTCTAATGTTAAAGAATCGGGGACTCTTTGCAATACGTTAGACGGGGTCTGACGTTGAAGAATCGGAGATTCCTTGTAATACGTTAGACGGGATTCTAACTGTCTATCTCGTACAGATTAAAGGCGGTACCTTATAATTGAGGCTTTGATATTACGGTAATGGTTGAAAATAGCAATGATCAAACCAAGAGCCGGTTTCTTGAATGTTCCTTAATGGCTTCTCATCTCATTCCGGAAGGATTTCCAAACGTTTCAGAAAATGGCTGCCTTCCTCGAGTTTTCCACGTGCCAGCAAGGCTCGCCGAGACGTATCTCACTGGCTTCCTTTCTGCGACGACAGTTGTTGTCCTTTATTTGCTGCGTACACGATCAACCGGTATGTTGGCTGATGCACACTGAGAGGCAGATTTCTGCCACCTCACAATTTGATTACAAAGTTCACAGCGAAAAGATGACGCAACTAATAGTCCGAGAGCCCACCGCAAAAATTTGGGTCCATCGCTTTTATGGATAAATTTACTTGCAAAAGGTAGTTTATAAGTCGTATTATCATAAACGATTGTCAGCCAAACTCGTACCCCCTGCGTTATGAGCAATAAAAATTTATTAACAATTGGATTTCTAAGCGATTTGGGTCCATCGCTTTTATGGACGAAACTTGTTTCATTCGAAAGGGCATCAAATTCCCTTTCAGAAAATACCCGGCTGATTTGCCCTGGCCCCTGCAAAACCCAGGCTGATCATGATTTTTGACTCAACGCGCGAGTCAGATCGAGCGTGGCGTTTGAAATGCGCGCCGTAAATAAGGACAGAGCGTCACGCTTTTATTTATACTTTGGATACTATCTAATATTATAAATTTTTAAAGATCATAATTGTTGTTATTGTTATTATTTAACGTTTATGATATTATAATATTGTGTAGGGATTATGAATATTTTTGATTTTTTTATCATTTATATTATTATATTTTATATGTTAATTATATACTTTTATCATTTATCATAGTTAAAAATATCATATTTCCAGATAAAAAGTATGGAACTGTCAGAGAACGTAATGTAAATTGGAATTTTGTCGAATATAAAATTGTGAACAATTTCTTGATCTATAATTGGCTCGATGGGCGCCGATGAAGATGCCATTGGTTCCTGGGTAGATTTTTCTATTGACTCCATCGAGTTCAACGAAGAAGAGTCACTATGAAACATCTGCAGGATTGGCTTCACTGGCGTCGATGAAGCAATAGACTCCTGCGACAACATTAAAAACGTTTTCGCTGAACTCGCAAAATTCCGAGATTTTATGTACAGCCGACTTTAATGACAATGAAATATCTTTTGTTGTTCTTTTTTCCGAAACGTTTCCATTTATTATCCACGACAACAAGAATTATAAAAAAATCGAAAGTGGTAGTAAGGAGCAATTAAAAAAGCAATTGAAGTAACTAATTTTCATGAAATGAATCGTTACATATAGAAAAACAAGCTTTATAACACTCCGAAATTATAATTACCTCAGTAAAATCCGTTACTGTAGAATCGTTATGGCCTTCTGCTTGAGTTTTGTGAGATTCACCAGGTGAGACAGGTGATTTTGTAATCTTTTCCTTCTGATTTTTTCGATCTGATGAACTGTACGGACGTTCCTAGAAGAATAATGAATTGTTGAAAATCGACAATTTTGAGAACCTTATAGCCCAGTCAAATTAAGATTTTTCTATAAAAAAATTCCCGGCAAGCTGGAAATTGGTATACAGGTTCATTTTAGTGTTCTTTTAAACATACTAAAAGTCCCCATACATAGAGCGTGAGCCGGCTGCGCCATCTTGAAAAAAAGAGTACAAAAATGGGTTTTTTGCAAATAACTCGGAAATTATTAGTTTTACGGGAAAGAACATTCAGAGCAAAAATGTAGCTGATAAAATT